TATAAAAGGCCTACTAATATTAGAAAAGATAGCTATAATTACTGAATTTAATACAAATATCCTAGATAAGCTAAGTAATATATATAATAAACTCTTAAAATAAAAAACCTTTATTAGAGACGGAACTAGACTAGAATTAACTAAAGAGAAGCTAAAGAATTACTAAGCTAATAATAAAGAATTCGAGAATATTATTAAAGGCATTTCCAAAAGCAGATAAAAGAAGCTTAATAAAATTAAGACTATAATAAATAGTCTTAATATTAAGAATTAAAATGGAATTATATTATATAATAAAGCCTTTAACTAATATATTAATAATATCTATAATAATCTTAGTAAAAACGTTTATAAGAAGTTATATTCTTTTTTTAAAATAAAAGCTTTAGTATATAAAGCTATTTAGTTAATTAATAAAGCTATTTTAAAGTATATTAAGAATAAGAAGTATTAGAATACTAGTATATTTACTAAATTAGATATTACTAAGGTACTTAAATATACTAAAGCTATTTCGGAACCTAGAGAATTGAAATTTAAGCTATTATTAGCTAATAATCTCAAGGCTAAATAATATACCTTTAATATTTCCGGAATTCTAATTAAGGAAGTTTATAGTAATAAGCCTTTTCCTACTTTCCGAAATAAGCCTAAAAAATAGGCCTCTATTATAATTTTAGCTTTAATTTAACCAGATCTAGCTAAGAAAAATAGAACTAATTTAATAAAGCCTAGTAAGAAAACTATTAGTAAAGCTAGTAGAACTAATATAACTAGATAAGAAGAACCTAATAAGAATAGAGAATAAGCTAAACCTAAAACTTCTAATAAATAATAAAGATCTAAATACTAGACTAAGTATAAGATTAGTAAAATAAAGGAAAGTAAGAAAGAATTCTTTATTCTAAAAAGAAAAATATTATCTAAAAAGATTTCTATAATTATATTTAGAACTAAGAAGTAGAAGACTAAGAATATTAAGTTTAGAGAACTTAATAAAAGTATTTAGTATATCTATAAGATACTAGTTAAATAGAAGTTAATACTTATTTAGTAAAATAAGTATATTTTTAAGGAAATATATAGTAGTATTATAGGACCTATTTATAAATAAGAATATTATAGGATTAATAATAGATTTCTTAAAGCTTCTTATATAGGATATACTTAATAACTTACTAATACTTTCTCTATTAATATACGAGATATTAAGGATACTTTAAAGCTAGTTACTAAGATTTATAAAGTTATTAAAATCAAGAAGTATATTTCTATTATTTAAATAAATAAGGAAATATAGGATTTCTTTTTTAAGACCCAGAAAATTAAGTAATATAAATATAAGTACTATATTTCTAATTAATTCCGCCCAAATTTATAGCTCTAATTCAATATTATAGTTCTTGTTCCTAAGTCTAATACTACTAATCTAGGTATAAATAGTTATATTTATAAGAAGAATTACTTAAAATAAGTTAAAAAGCTTAGTATTTGAAAACTTTTAATAAAGGAAATAGAGATACTATAGTTCTATTTTTAAAAAATAATATATTAATATATAAAGATCTTAGTAATAGCTACTTTATCTTAGCCTTTTAATTCTTAATAGCAAATCTATTAATATAGCTCGGGTTTTACGAGGTATTAAGTAAGTATTTTATTTATCTAGTTACTTACTTTTAGCTAGCCTAATACTTTATTTCTGGAAATATTAATTATAATTAATATAAAGGCAATACTAAAGATCTGGCTATTACTAAAGCTTTAAATAGCGAATTCTACTTTAGTAAAGAGTATTGAAATATTAGCTATATTTTTCTTATAAATTATAAGAAGGCTATTACCTTTAGTAAAAAGTTCTTTAAAAATATTAATTACTTCTCTATTTCTAATAAATTTAAGCCAGAAATAGCTAAGGAAATAGGCAAGTATTTACTAAAGATAATAGGAGAAAAAACTCCGAGTATAGTTTATTTAACTAGATAAATAAATGCCTTTAGCTAGGTAATTTATAAGTCTGGAATTATAGGAAAATATTAATTCTCGAATAATATATAAGTTAAAAAATAGCTTAATAATAATTTACTACTTAATAGGCCTTTTATTATAGTTTTAATAAGTCTAGTTACTATTAAGAATAGAATATACGAAAATGAAGTCTCTTATAAAATTATTAAAGCCTTTTATCTAGAACTTTCTTCTTTTATTAAAGGTTAATTTAAGAATATAGTAAATAATATAAAATTTGAAGAAGCTATTTATTTAAAGTATATTAGTATAATTTATAATATAATTTACTATAATAAGCCTTTTTAATACCTAATAGTAAAGGCGGAAATTAAGTAATAGTTAAAGGCGAATACTAATTAATATAAAGAACTATATCGGATTTAGTATAAAAATATAGTTAAGTAGGTTCGGATTACTTTTAAATAAGTTCGGGAATATAAAATAAGACTATTTGAGAATAATAAGTCTTATTTTAGGTATATAAAAGAGAAATTAGATTAGCTAATAAAGGAAGCTCCTAATTATTTTATTATTTTTAGTATTTAGGAAACAAGTATAAATAAATAAGAAATCGGATATAATATAGCAGGCTATATTCTTTAAAAATTATATTATTTTAGTAGTTTTGAGGTTTAGGTTATATAGTAAAGGCTATAGTCTTTTATATATAACTTGCAGAAATTATATAAGAAAGCTGGCTTTTCTATAGTTCTAGAGAATAATCCCTTATAAATATTTAATTAATTGAGCTTTTATATACTATATACTATTTATACTTTACTATTTATACTTTTAATTTATTATTTTATTATTAAGTTACATTTTGTATTCTAGTATACTTTATATAAATTTTTGTTTTATTATAGTTTCTCTCCTATAATAGCCTGCTATATTATACTAACTCGTATTCAAGTTATTAGATATATCGGAAATTAATATAATATACTAAGATTAATACTTATATATTCTTAATATTTTAGCCTTAGACTTAAAGTATTATAATAGCCCTTTTCTTCTCAAACTTACTAAGCTAATAATCCGCCTTATAGAAACCTCTCAGAACTTTATAAAAGTATTACCTTAACTATAAAGTTTCGATTTCCCTATATTATTTACTATAAAATATATAAAAAGAAAACTATAATAAAACAAAAACTTATATAAAGTATATTAGAATATAAAACGTGATTTAATAGTAAAATAATAAGATTAAAAGTATAAATAGTAAAGTATAAATAATATATAGTATATAAAAGCTTAATTAATTAAATACTAAAAAGCAATTATTTTCTAGAATTATAGAAAAACTAGCTTTTTTATATAATTTCCGCAAGTTATATATAAAAGGCCACAGCCTTTACTATATAACCAAAACTGCTAAAACCGCTAAAATAATATGATTTTTAGAGAATACGGCCTATTATACTATAATAGATATCTAAATAATAAGATATGCTTTTAGAAGTTAGAATACTAGCTAGTATAAATAGAAAAGTAAGTTTGGGACTAAATTACTAGCTAGTATAATTATATATACAGGATAGGTTAGATTAGTCTAGTATCTATTAAAGTAGTATAATATTTTGGTCTCTCTCTCTTATCTTTCCTACAAGAATATTGTCTAGTATATATTAGCTAATACCGGGGTTGCATCTGCTATCTACTAGGCCTGAATCGGTATACGGATTTATAGTAAGTTGCCTATATTAGCCTAATAAGATAAGTAGGTCCAAATTTGATATTATACTGCCTCTATTAATTTAGATATAGACATATATACAAAATGCAAGTAGGCTGTACTATAAAATCACTATCTGTCAGTACTTGTAATACTAGTCTAACTTGTTTTCGTTGCCTTGCTTACCTACTTCTAATTTCTTCCAAGGTGGACAAGAAGATTTCTACAGCTAAGACTCCGGTTAATGGGTTACCTTGGGTACTCAGGCCATAATCCAAGAGGTTGCCAGGATAATAATACTTCCGCTCCGAAGACAGTACTATTCTCTGGAGAAAAATCTTCAGAGAAAAATCTTTAGCAGAGAAATTTCTTAAGCGATTTCTCCGAAAATTCTAAGGCTCCTACGAGAATTCTTCTATAATGTCTACGGTCTAAAGAGCATTCTCTTAAGATCTCTGGGATCATATGAGAATTCTCTTAAGAGGATTATCTTGAGAGAATTCTCTTACGATATCTACGGCCCTAAGAGTATTCTCTTAAGATTCGTGGGGTCCTACGAGCTATAACATCTCAAGATACTTATCTCAGAAGCAATATTCTCATAAGAGCCTTATCAAGGGGCTGAGTAGCGAAAGCAGCAAAATGTTCCCGTAAGCGAGGTACAATATGGATTTGGAGAGTGGACAACACATGGACAATCCATGCAGCGAAATTTTGTTCGTTTTGAATCATGCAGAATGTGGGTATTATTCGCAAGGTACCAGCAGCTCGTATCCTTCGTTCACGAATAGCGGACAGAACTCTCTTCGGTGACCTCACTATGCTATACAGTCGTGTTGACTCAAATCAATTGAGTGTTGCATCAGCTGTCCCTCCCGCGCAACAAGTACTCAGCAACGAACCTGATTCAACCACTTAGAGTAATGCGGGATTCCAGAGTGCAGCGTTTGATTTGAGCTAGTGGATAAAGATCACTACACCGCTAACTACCTTCGAGAAAGCCGCCTTCGATACGCCGCTACGATCCAGCTCGGCTTCTCAGAGAGAGATTGAGCAAACACACGATGGAGTTGACCAGCGGATATTCGAAGAACTTACCGGGTGAGTCGTAGTGCTGAATAGAAAGTGCGTTGAGCCGCAGGCCACAGGCTGAAATTTAGAGTCCAGGCCCCGTCCTGGTTCGGAACTCTTAAGCCTGTGCGATGAGGCACCTTTGCAGCGCTCAGCCTCGTCGACAACGCACCTGAATCGATATATCTTTCCATCACCATCGACGAACATCCAAGATTACCATGTTTACTCGATACCAAACATGTCAGTCGGGTTCGGCTTCTCCACTGGTGATTTCATCGCTGCCCTCCAACTCGTTTCAACAGTCATCGATGCCCTTCGCGATAGCGGCGATTCCTCCGCCGAGTATCGAGCCTTGATCTCACAGCTTTTGACCCTCGAGAACGCATTGTTGAAAGTCAAGCGAATTGATGTGGACGAGGAACAACATGCGGAGGTTATTGCGCTGAGGCAGGCGGCGTGCCAGTGCCAAAATACAATCGACACGTTCTGGGAGAAGATCAAGAAATATCAGCCAAGTCTGCGGGCTGGAGGCAGTAGCAGCAGAGTGAGGGATGGGTGGTTCAAGATCAAGTGGGCGCTGTGTAAGAAGGACGACGTGGCAAAATTCAAAGCCGATTTGATGGGGCATACTGAGAGCATCGAATTGTTGTTGGTGACATTGCACATGGGCTCAACGCGGATCGCTGGCAAGAAGCAAGAAGAAAGTAATCGAACGCTGGCCGGGAGAGTTCAGGATTCTTACTTTGGCTATATGCAGAAGATGTCGGTTATCTTGGAGCAGATGTCGTCGGGGGTTCAACAAGGGAAATACCTAATTGAGATGACATCAAATGTCATACAAACCAACGTCAAGATTTTTCAGATCGTCCTCAACCTCCAGAATATAATCACGAGGATCCCCAGGCAGATCGACCGACAGCAACCTGTGTATCTGATTGACGCAGTGGGTCGTCATACTCCTTTTCACCTCGAGTTCATCACTGGCGCAGAAAGTCTGAGATCTGTTCTGCAATTCAACTTTAAGAATATCGGCTCAGGAGCCACCAAAATAGACAACGGAGAGTTTGCCATCCAAGACTCTGCCTCGAAAATGGATGTTGACCTTTCTTCGGCGTGGGAATCATGCTTCTGTCCTGGACAGCGCTATGACATGAGTATAATATTTACATCCAGAGAAGCCTCCATTCAATCGTGTCCCAAATGTCATGAGAACAATGGCGATAAATATGAAGATGAGGACATTGAATGGTAAGTCATCTATCTGTTATCAAGTCCTGGCTTACCGATAGATAGTCGGAAATGTAGCATGATTTATCGTAGATCTCACTCTCAGCCGGCTCTACCTACCTTCCCAATGGGAACCGTGCAGCCATTGGCAGATGGCGAATATGACCCAGAAGAAGTTTTAAATCGTCTTGACCTGTCCCCTCGACGTCGAAAAAGACCATACGATGAGGATGAAGAAGTGGCGCTGTTCCGCCGGGTTCGTATCAAGACCTCTATTGTGACGATGACCGACAGTCGCCCTCCGGTAAACTATCAGCTTGAGTGCCAAGGCGATCAAGGCCACAGCTTCCCACCAGTCAACCCTGCTGATCAAAACCCACCTTGCAATACGTTGTATGTTGGCAACCTTCCGATCGACGCAGCCGCGGACGAGCTTACGGCTTTGTTTTCTAAGCAAAGAGGATACAAGCGCCTTGCTTTTCGAACCAAGCAGAATGGCCCGATGTGTTTCGCCGAGTTCGAGGATGTCTCTTTTGCGACAAAAGCGCTTCATGAGCTTTACGGCCATCCTCTGCACAACAGTATCAAGAGTGGCATACGACTTAGCTTCTCCAAAAATCCACTTGGTATTCACTCTGAGCAAAGCATGGCATCATCAGGTCCCCCAAACATACCGGGAGTAATGTAGGGCATGAATGAAGTCATGCTTGGTGGGTTGGCGTTATTCAGTACAGCCAATGGTCCTCTGCCAGGACTAGGTCAAAGTGGAATGGGGTAGTCGCCATTGAGTCCTCTGAATGGAGCTATAGGCTAATACGGAGATGCTTCATTTGAGTGGAATATTATGGTCACAACTCTTCTCACACTAATCAAACGAGTTTTCGAGATCCAGTTAATGGCAGCCGCTCGTTGTCGTGGGATCTACAGGTTTTAGGATTAACAGTGTTATAGAATAAACGTTGGGGACTAGAGCATTGTCTTGGACCCTAGCTATTGAACGATGACGGGGCCTGATCCGGCTCCCTGTCGATCCCTGTTAATTCCCAAGGCTATTTGGAACGAGGCAAGGGAATCGCTGGACCGTGATTACCTCTATTGGACAATTGGGGGTCCCGATGCGGCTCCCTGCCGATCCCTAAGGCTAAGAGTTTCACCGTCGGCGGACCTGTTTGTGCTGAAGAAAGTGACACGGAATTGATCAGATTTTCACCGTCGACAGTGCCGGTTTCACTTCAGACCTGGTCCAAAGGCCGCCGATTCAGATCTTAGGCTTGAAAAATGCATGGCAATTCCGCGTCATTATCTCTTCAATGTAGCATCTCATATATCTACACTTTGAAAGAATTACTTCCCCTGGTGCCGAAGTCTTTGTTGGGTGACATCAAATATTGTCGAAGGTTGTCGAAATTGTTGCCCTTGTGACCAATAGCAATCGCTTTATTTACTTGAATGAACGGACCAGCTCTGTCGGAGCGGAGTTCGTTCACCGGACGCTCTATTGCTTCTGTGCAAACATGGACTCCGATAACGACGAGTTCCTGGTCTTCTCCAACATGAAAAACTGGTGAGCCTGAATTGCCTAGAATGTCTTAGTATGTCAAGAACAAAGAAGCGAGACGGCTTACCTGGAGAAGTATCCAACCGGTATATGAGCGTAGGATCCTGCTGGAGGTCCCAGTCTATCATCCCTTTGCTCTCGTACATGTACTGGCCCGGCCTACCAGCTGGAATGTCTCCAGGATAGCCAGCGATAACAATCTGCATTCTCTCCCCTTGTATTGGGCAAGGTTTCCACTTCAGGGGGAGGACATCATCGAAAGGGTTCGACAGTCTGATGAGAGCAATATCGTTTTCCCTGGAGAAGTTGCCGTGCCATCCCCGATGAACGGCAACATCCGCAGCCATTCGAACCTCGTGAGTCTTTCGTAGCTCAGAATCCGCTCCATGGTAACTGATGTGGGCTTCTATTGCTATTGCGCGGCCGTGTACTTTGTGGTACACGCAATGGCCAGCTGTTGCAACGATGCCGTTTTCAATCAAACACCACCCAGTTGCCTCTGTCGGAAACAGTGCTCCCTCAAAAGTAACAAATAATTTGCATATCGCTTTGCGGTCAGCGAGATCGAGTGGGGCAATCGAGGAGACCCATACCTCTGTACTTTCCGCGCGGCTTAAGATGCTTCTTGTCAACAGGGTCCTGCGGATTCTTCCCCAAAGCGGCCTCCGATTCTGAGTCATCATCTAGGATCTGGGTTATTGCAGGCGCCAATTTTGTTTTACACTGGTCGAGGTCCCAAGCAACTGGTGCCGTTGTTGGGTGTCGACAGCTTTGGCGGTGACTATACGATGAGCTTGGATCACATGGAGAGTCACTGAACTCACTAAGTTATGCAGCAACAGTTGCAAGGTAGAAGTTTGTCAATCAAAAGGCTCATGCCTCTACCATTGCTGCAACAACAACAAAGCCACACCCACACTACTCTCTTCTTCTTCGGCACCTGTGCAGTAGACGTTGTCAATACATCGGCATTAAAGTAAGCACTCCTTGAGTCAATGCGTACCATGTTTGATGAACGATACCGTCACTGTCGCCCTAGGCGACGAAATAAGTTGTCTGCTCAATATACCTCTGATGCCAGCTTTACAAAGGTGCAAGAGCCAAGAAGAAGATGCTGATGCTAACCGATCCTGGAGGTTCAAAGCGTTATAAATACCAGCACCCTACGATGAGTGATGATGAGGTCGGCGTTACATATTCTTGCGTGACTCAAGGCGTCGTGCGAAATTTAGCGAGTTGAGCCTCTTTATCTGCAGATGTTTCAAGCCACCAAAGTGTGGTTGGCTGCTCGGCCTACGGATAAATGCCTCCCAGAATTCCGATCGTCTCTCCAATCAAATCTTTGGCAAATTAAACCTTTGCGAACAAAATTGACAGGGCTGGTCGGATCTCGGACTGGCCCAGCTGAGCCGCAACACGTAGCGCGATGATAAAAGATGAGGGAAGGGGGAAATGAACGAGGCTTCGACAGCGATATTTCAGCTCCAAAGGCCTCGCCAGGGGTCCTGTCACTTGGACAGATCGGGGTCCCAAGGTGTTCCAGGCCGTCTTTTACGCACTACAGCAGCCAAATTTATCTGACGTTGAACCGCAATTTCTATTCCCTCTATGGGCGTCTAGACAAAAGAAATACAGTAATACATTATAGGTGAATATGGCATGGGAGCCGCATCAGGTACCTGAGTTAGACTCAGAATAGAAAGTTTCGGAGACGGCTATTGGACAAATCTTTGTCCATACTCTCCCCCCCCCTAAATAAATATAACAGTGGGTCCAAGTACAGGGGTGTTTTGGTACTCTCCCCCCCCCTAATTAAATGTAACAGTGGGTCCACGGTAGGGGTATTTACAGGGGGTTCTACAGGGGGTTCTACGGGGCGTTTATAGGGGCTAATAGCCAATTAAAAGAAGGCCACCTAACATCTTCTCCTCCGCTTTTCTCTCTCTTTTTATCCTATTTAATTATACTAATTAATGGATCTCTATCGAATACTTAATACTCTATGCCTATAGCAAATCGTAGTCCTTCCTTACTCTCCTTATACCCCTCGTATACTAATTAGAAAGTCTTATATACGAGAAACAACCCGATCCGATTATATATATATTAAAACTACCCTTAAATAGGCTATCTCTCGTTCCGTATAGAGAAAATATAAAGACGAATACGGCTTTACCTTATATCAAATCAGGCTTATTTAGCAGAATCCAATTACTCTATAGAAGAAAACTAAGATTAGACAAAAGCCTATAATCCTAGCAAAGAAGGTTATATAGCTCAAGGAGTGGCTTTTAGTATACCCGGTATACCGTTACGTTTCCTTCTATTACTTATCCATATTTGTACTAGAGCTTGGGCTAGAAAAATATGGGTTTGAGTCTATTTATATAGTATTTAAGTCTCTTAGATATGGCAGACAAGTAGCTAAAAGGAAGGGATTCTCAGATAATCCAGTTTATATAATATACCAGATTACTTTTATAAAAAAGGGATTAACTTGGTTACAAGAATAACTCTATTTATAGTACTTTTCAGACGAGGTTTGGATATATAGAGGAGCGTTTATATAAAGCTATATTATAGTCCTTATTAACGGCGATCCTAAAGCTATTTGCAAAAACTAATACCTACTAGAATATATCTAATATAAGTACTTAAAGTAACCGGCTTGGATATTCTATAAAGTAATTTATAAAGGGAGAAAGGGCCCTATAATATTCTAGAAGAAGAAATAGGGTTCTATAGACTCAAGAAAGTATAATAAGGTTATACTTTCTCAAATATAGACTTAGTTTAATATAGAGAAAGTATAAGGGGTTTGGCTTGCTTAGTAATATAATAAAGTATCTTGCTATAAGTCTTTTGAGATATAAGATAATCTATATTAGAGGAATATCCCTTCTATTAACTAGCCTCCTTACTCCCCTGACTTGAACCTTATTAAGTATATATAGAGCTAGATAAAGAGATATATTCAGGAGTACTATTTTCAAGCTTATTATAATATAAAGAATATCTCTTTAGATATCCTGAAAAAGATTATTTTATAAGCTTGAAATACTATCCCAGATAGCTTTATTGAGACTCTTTTTGAGTTATAGTAGAGGCATTATTAAGCTATAATTAATACTAATAGAAGGCTAACTATATACTAGCTCTATAGTATTTTAATATTATATAATAAGCCATACTTCTTTAATTAGCCCTTAGCCCCTATAGAACCCCCTATAGAACCCCCTGTAAATATCCCTACTATAGACCTACTATTATATTTAATTAGGGGGAGAGAGAGTATCTTTATATCCTATCTTTATATCCTGTTTCTTAGGTAAGATTATATATATAACTAATAAGAGGCAGATCTCCCTAAAAAATAGATATCCTAAATCAGGGGTCCAGAAACAGTTATCCGGATATAAATAGTAACTTAAGCAAATTAAGGAACGGGAGGTCTCAAGAAAAATATTAATATCCGCCTTTATCTTAATAGTATTCTATTATATTAATTCGGGAAATTCGAAGTATTTAGTATAGTTTTATGGCATAATTGAACTTACTGCCTATAGAGGTAGTTAACGATTTCTTAAGACCTTAATCTTAAACTATATATTAATAATAGAAGGCAGTAAAGATTTTAACTTTTCTAATACTAGAGCTGCCTTATTTATAATCTAATAGAAATCTGTAGCCCTTGCTCTAAATTTATTTATTATACTAGCCCATTTTTAAATATTTCTCTTTAAATACTAGTTTTCTAAGTTAGCTATATTAAATATTGCCTTAAGCTAATTTATAGCCTCTTTAGTATCTTGCTTTAGTATTAACTCTACTATAATAATATTCTTTAACTTTTTTATCTTATATATTAATCCCGAATTTTCTAATTCTAATTCTATAATTCTATTAATAAAATTTAATACTAGTCTAGTAAAGAGAATTTACTAATATTAAAATTAGCTTTAAACAAAATACTAACTTCTCGATATAATTTTATATAAATACTAATTAAATATTTACTTAGGTTCTTTTTAAAAATAAGAATTCTTTATATAAGAAATAAAACGGATTTTTAATAAATAGATTAATATTTCTAGCTTGTTTTTTTATTATTTTTTATTAGTATTAAATAAAATATAAAAGATAAAAGTATAAATTTTACTAATATATTCTAATAACTTTTTATAGTATTTTATTCTTTATTTAATATAATTTAGATTATTTAATTAAGATAATACTATTATATATAAAGAGAAGTACTTATTATTATATTAGCTTTAATTAATTATATAGCCTTAAATTAATTTATAAAAAAGAATAGTTTTTAGATATTAAATAAAATAGTATTTTATAGGGCTATTTCTAGATTCTAGAACTATTCTAGAATATTTATTTTAATAGCGGATTATTTTTTTGGCTCTCTTTATATAGTAAATATTAAGAATAAAGTAGTTTTTTAGATAAATTATTTAAGAAATAATAGTACTAATTTATTAAATATTAGAAAAATAAAATATAAAGAATTAAGATTATTATATAATATAGATTTACTTTATTAAAAGTATATAAGAAGCTATATAAGCGAAACATATATAATTATAAGTATAAAAATTAATATAATTAAATATATTTAATATATTCTAAAAAATTTCTTTAATAATTTCTTTTTAAATTAATAGCCAAATACTAAAATTATTTCTCTTTTAGTAATTTAGTTTTATAAACCCAATATAAACGAGATTAAGCTTATATAATTATAGAATTATAAGCTATTATAAGGTTCTTATATATATTATTTTTATTAATTTATTTATTATATTTATCTAATTACTTTTATTATTTAATTTAATATTAAGTAATTATTTTCTTATATTTATCTTTTCTATATAAAATAACTTGTTCTTTTAATAATTATTTAATAATATATTAACTATTATTCGGAATTATAATAAATAGCTCGGGCTCTTAAATAAATTTTTTATAAAATAATAGAAATTCCGAAATACGAGATTCTATAACTAGTTCTCTAGTATTATTTATAATATTATTCTTTATAATTAATATAATTATACTTAGAAAGTTAAAGAAAGATATATTTTTTATAGAAATAATTTAAATATTTATTTAAGATTAGTTAAACTATATATAAACTAGAAAATAATTCTAATTTACTTTAATTATTATTATTATAATAATGGAATTAATATAATAATTAAAGGCTTAAAGTTTAAAAAATCTTATATATTAGAAATATTAAGCTATAAAATAAAATAAAAAGAATACCTCGACTTTTTAGTATTATTTTATTTAAGTATTCTAGTTTAGCTTTATTTTATATTTATTTCCGATATCTTATTCTTAATAAATTATATTATTATATTAGTTATTATATTATTTCTCTCTAAAGAAAAGTCTAAATACTCTTATTTAGAAAATTATTTAGCTATAATAAAGAAAAGAAAAGAAAATTATAATTATTAATCATATTTAATTTAATTCCGATACTTTATTTAAAATTAAAATATAGTTTTAACTTTACTAAAATAATCTAATTAGCAATAAATCACAGACCAAAATATCCAGAACTAAATATGAGTAATAGAATACATCTGTTTAAGCCTGCTCTATTATCCCATGTAGTAATACACTCTAGTATCCACTTTGCTCTAGTAAAATATTACCATAAATGGCAATAAGATTATCGCTAACCTCATGCTTGCTTCCGAGGTTTGCCTTGTTGCCTCTATTACTATATCTCTCGAAGGGTTGCTCGCGAGTCTTAGAAGCCTTGGCCTGTAATATCCTCGAATACCGTGTGCGCATTTTCCCTTCCCTTCTTTCCGGAAACACTAATCCAATATATTTTCATAATAAGCCCTGCTTCTCCAAGCCCAGCAACCTTCTATCTCCCCTGGTGTGAATAGAAGGCGTGATTTCCGAGGTAGCGGTGCTGGTAGAACTACTTATAGACCCAAAAACAGGACAAAGACCAAGGGAGAATGGACGGGTACAGGGTATCTCAATATCCCGTTATCTAGTCCCGCAAGCTACACGTCTGTAATCTCAATGATTCTCCTCTCGTCTCTAAGAAGCAACAATATCCGAGACCTCCTCGAGCTCAACCCTATTATGGTCATCATACAGCACAACCAACAGCGCCTCACCGCGCTCATTAATCGGACTCCCAGTCATCACGGCTCTCTTCTGCAAGAACGGAGTATCACATCCCTCTACCTTGCCACCAGGAAAGTGGTCGCTCAAATCAAGCGCCGCTTTCCCCTGGGGGTCTTTAGCCTGCGCAGGCGCTCCACGGCGAAAGCGGTTGTCCAAGGGCGGGTCTGAAATCGAAGGAGGGAATGTCTCCTGTACTTACGTTGCGAAGTTGAGAACAAGGAAAGTTTGTTAGTGGTCCTCTCTTGAAGAAATTTATAAATTTTCAACATCAATTTCTAAAGTGAGCTCGAGGAGTCCAAGTGTAATGTCGAGATGACAGATTATCCAGTGGAAAGGATGAAACTTATGCGTGGTGGTGAAAAGCAATCGATGAGCGGCTAGCAAGAAATCATCGAGTGGTTCGCGCTCATACAACATTTCAATCAACCACACGGCAATCCAACAAACAAGGGAGCCACACTTTTAACCCTCCAGAAAATAAGATTTAAATCAATACCTACCCAACTGTGAAGTCATTATAATTTCACTTATCACCTCGTTGAAGTGGGGAGAGAATTGATGTGTGCAAGTTACGCGGAAGGCTTAGTCAACCACTCGAACTGAGGCTGACGAGGGTGCCGTTCAGGTACCTTACATGATCTGAGTGGAGCTGAGAGGAGCTGAGCTGCAAGCCCGATGCGACATACCCGCATCATGCAGGAACGAGAAGAAAAGGGTTGTGGTGCAAAGATGGACGACGCGGGATGCTGGTAAAGGCATGATCGTATGTCAGCGACTCGTTAATTCGTTTTGCGTATGCGGAAAATAAACAGAGGGTGGCAGTGGGATGGGCTACAGAAACGGTGTGCTGACAACTAGTCAGGTGGAAAGTAAGAGCCAGGCTTCAAGTTGAGTGCGACGATCTGCTGCAAATGAAGGCGAGGCACAATACGCTGCTCGGAGGACTTTTTCATTCAGCCCTTATCTATTTCCTCCCTTCCATCGTAAAATAAACACAAATGGCGATGAAATCGCTGTGGTATATAGCAACATTATCATATCCATATCTTGTCCCAAACCCGTGGACCATGGCCATGGTGATCGACTCCAAACTCCTCGCCCAGTCATGCCTCATACCGCTAAATCCAAATAGCAATGGCGTAAATTATACACAGATGTATCATCATCCCTCACCTTTCCCATCATTTCTTTCGGATTATCGTAGAAGACCGCCGACGTCTTGTAACGAGTGAGTCGTCTGCTGCCGTATTAAATTATGCGAAGAGGAAGGCTCAGACTGCTCTTGCTGGATAGTCTGTAACTCGATTCCTCGTGAGGGCTGAATGCGCTCTCTCCTGGGTCCCAGCAATCCTCCAACATCTTGGAGCAGGGCCGAACTCCCTCTTCTCGGCGGAGCTGGAGATAGACCTTGTTCACCGTATTGGCTCCCATACAGAGGGCCAAAGCTTGACCCGCCATCCGTATCCGTCGTCCTCGTGGAGCTGACTCTCCTCGGCTGGTCCTCCTCTAGTAACCCACCCACATCAAAGAACGAGACTTTCCTCGGAGTGTTGATCGATGATACATCCCCAGGGCTGTGTGTCTCGATCTTCATCACATCGAGATCATCACTCGTATCGCTCCTTTCCCCTGGAAATTGCCAATCCTTGCCAATCCCCATCCCCGTAACCCTATGCGCCTTAACTGGCACATTGCCGGCAGTCGCCATAGGTGCCGGTCTTGGAGTAGGCTCCGACTCCCTCAGCTCTGGATCCACGCCCAGTCCTAGACCCCTCACGAGATCTTCGTCGCTTCCCCAGTGCCGGATCGCGGTGCCTCTTCGCGAGGTCGTGCGGTCAATGCTATCGGTCATGGACCCAAATTTCCACCTCTGTTTCTTCACGCCTCGATCTCGCACGAAAGAGCCGAGGACCAAGGCGTTGGCCACGGCTGTGGCAAAGAGGATCTCGATCGAGGCAAGGAGGGAGCGGTATTGCTGACTTCCGTGACGGTCGATTATATTTGGGAGTCTGTACAAGGTTGTTCCGGCGGGGAGGAGGGAGCCGGCGAAGAGGAGTACGAGTTGGATCTTCCTTTTTGCTCCCATCTTTGAGCGGATGATGATTGGGATCGGGAAAACGACCAAGAGGAGGTCGGTTATAACGTTGCAGGTCCCCATTGTGAGGAGCTGGGCGTAGCCTTGTCGACATTTTGCTCCCGGATCGGGGACTACTTGCCAGTAGTGCGTGAAGGGTTGGCATTCAGCCAGGTCCGCAATCACTACTGCAATGAATGTAGCAGCCAGAAACCACCTGATGCCCTGCAGCATCACCTCGTGTGATCTTGTCCATATATTAAGCGTCAATCGTTTGAAAAATTCGCTGATGGTGAGTTTGAGCATCCATAGTCTGGAAAACTTTGTTAGTGGCAGCTAGAAGAGAGTTCGGGACCAAACATGCGTTGCGGCATAGAAAATGCGGGAAACTAAAACCAATCTACTACCAATCGACCGGTGCCAGATCTCCTCGTCCGTGAGCCCCGTCGTGATGGCATTGTTCGTCCCGTAGAGCAAAATGACATGGACGCATGCCATGCGACAGAAAAGCGGGATCATGCACCCAAAAGCTAGCCAGTCTTCCCTGAATAACTTCTCTGACCGTATGTACCTCCCACAGACCCGGAACAATATTATCACCGCCGCGAAGATTGTGCACCACCAGCACACGAGCAGAGTCGCTTTGTCGGCGTGGAAGGTTCGCGCTGGTGGGGGATCGGAGTAAATCGACATGGTGTCCGACTTGGACTGGACCGACCGCCGCGCCCGTCTACCTCCACCGAGGGGACGAGCGAGGAGTGGACGGGGTTCGCAGTGGCTTTTCTATCTTTCGAGATTGATCAATTCGGGGGCGCATTCCTTTCGCGATTTTCTAGACGACGGGAGAATGCAGTTTCGAATGATGCGGGGCATGGGCCGTGGCATGTCAGATCTCGAGTCGAGTCTAGTCGATCTTCGAGCCTCAGTCTCAACTGTCGCGTGGTCGCACAGGCTTTGTGATGTTCTGGAAGCTCGAGAGACGGAAGGTTGTAGCAAGGATGTCCCAACCGTGCGGCACGCAACGCTGGTAGGTAAATCAGAACGTTGTGCTGGAGCAATGTCGTCGAGGCGGATTGATCGTATGAATGCAAGAAGAAGGAAGAAGGAAGTAGCTGCGGCTACGACGAGGTACAGTACTTTCAGGGCGGGACGGTGGGGGACCGATTCTGGGCGCACAGAAAAGGAGCACAAGGCTCGGGCTGCTAATGATAGAGTAGATTGGACGGCGGTGATGGGGGCTGGACTGTAGGCGTGAACCTTGATTAGAACTGCCAGGCGGTCTAGCAAATCAGGTGTCGCCGAGGGTTCTTCGCGCCGGCTGCTGTGATATGATACCGGGTCTCACCTTGTGGGCTGCGAGTTATTCGGATGCCTGTTTCGTGCTGCTGGAATCCTGCACGGTACGGAGGTACGGTACAGTAGCCTGGCTGCGGAGAGTCGTGCGGCAACTGGACGAGCCCTCAAGCCCTCTTAAGCCTCTTATTGCTCCTGGCCCCGTGAAACCGTGGGCTGCGCTGGTGACTACTTTTTGCATCTGAACGCCGTGAATGGAGAGTCAAGTGGTCGGGAACTCTCGGTATCAGAAGACGGGGGGGCAAGGTTGAAGAACCCGGCCTGCCTCGCAGAGATAACGATTGCGCCACGCTCGCGGGATAGGCTGCGTCGCTATCAATTGTGGACGGTCTTGCCCTGCCCTTGCTCCGTGTCAGAGAGGGGCCAGACGGCCACAGTGATGGCCACTGTGATATCAGTTTGGCGCGCAGTGCTTCCAAACGTGGAAGTGAGCAGAGCAGCAAATCGACACGGAAGACTGGTATCGCGGGGAACACGCGAGCAGAGCTTCCCTGCTGACAGATGCCAACTGGACTGCGTGACTGCGTGACTGCGACATCATGATTGGAGCGCAGAGTTGACGGCCGCCACCTCAGGAATCGTGGTTGTTGGTGGAAGATCTCCTCCAAATGTACCTTAACACCAGCCTCGCCGACGCTTGTGAATAATGTGTCGAATCAAGTGCAAGAAGCGCGTTTCCAGAGATACGGTTAGGCTAGAGCTTTCAAACCATTGAAAGGGCCCAGAATTCCGGAGCCAGCCATCCACCTCCAATTTGATTTACGGGTTCTCAACCCAGCAACTTGCAACACCTTCCAGAGAGCGGAAAACTCCTGAGAATGAAAGATAAACCCCCCAAGAAACTCTCACAAGACAACGGCAGATGAAGGCAGGCCATTGCCACCACATTGGCGGAATTGCTTCACAGTTGCCTCTTCTGTCCAACTTCCCCATCTTGATTCTTCAGGATGCGCGAAGGCTGGGAACGAACCACTCACAGCGGCGACGGTGGAGCGGAGAACACGCATCGAAGGATCATACGGAGTACTTGGGGATCACCATCAGGGATCAAATTTGCTGGGGTCTTTCGGGCGCCGTGGGGGCTGCGCGAATTGCGCCCAGGCTCTATCCCTGGACACGACCAGGAACATTTCGCGACTCCTGCTTGGTACCATGTCAAACATGAAAAGTAGGCTCAAATCTTGATAAGAGAAGGAGCTGGCAACTGTTGAGAACTTGAGCCCCAAATTCTGTTCGAAACTCGAACTACACTAACTGGCGCCGGAAATAGCGGTGGGGTCGACTTCAGGCACAAGTCCCAAGCCAGATCGGATGAGGGGGCCGCTTAAAGGGGCCGTTCTTGGGAAGGGTTCCAGACTTTGAACCCCTCGTTCAGTTGAGACTGCTCCGATGCACGAAGACTCAAGTGACCGAAAACCACCAAGAAGCGGTGAAGCCTCGATGCACGAATTTTCGCTTTTGGATCCTGGGATTTACCCTGAGCCATTCCGCTAAAGTTTCGGCTCGACTTTGGAGGTATCTAACCGAGGCGATTCAGGAGGCTCCCACGTGACGCCCCCTATTATGATTGAGAAACATCAAGAACCTAATTTCAGCCTCAAAATTATAGACGACGCTCTGTCTTTAAGGGGGGAATACTTGTGCAACAAATTCAAGTCCTCAATATCTACTACTGTCTCGCTTACTTGAAGACTGCACGTGCCACGAATCTACCCCACTTCCGAGAAGCTACCCTCAATCAGGAAGCCCCTCAAGCTCACCTCAGTCACCTCACACGAACGACAGCTCATCTCAAACTACGGCTCTCCACGCTTCATTCCATATAACAGACGAACAAAAAGTAGGAAACCATCCAGATCCATGCACTAATAACAGGCCACCCCTTTTTGGTGACGCCCGAGCTTCGTCAAATCCCCCCAACATGGCCCACACCTTCCACATCTCCAAATCAGAACGCCACCTAAAATGGGACAACTCCCTCCCTCCCGTAGCCACAGTCCCGTCAGGCAGTACACTCACCTTCGACCTGCTTGACGGCGGCCACAACCAATTCACAGCATCCTCCACCGACGCCGACATCCTCACCTTCAACCTCTCGCTTGCAGACCCCGCGCACGGCCCCATATACGTAGAGTCCGCCGAGCCAGGCGACGTCCTCAAGATCGAGTTCGTGGACCTCAGACCCGCGAGGTACGGCTGGACGGCCATCTTCCCCGGCTCCGTCGGGTTCGGGCTCCTGCACGACGAGTTCCCCGAGCACAAGTTGCAGATCTGGGATCTCGAGACGCATCGACAGGATGGATATACCGTCTTCAAAGAAGGGATTCATGTCCCCGTCAACCCGTTCCTCGGCGTCGTCGGTCTGGCGAGAGAGGAGGCTGGGGAGTGGAGTACGATCCCGCCGTATGAGACGGGTGGGAATATTGACTGCAAACACATTACTGTTGGTTCGGTGCTGTATCTTCCGGTTAAGGTGAAAGGAGCGCTGTTTTCGTGTGGGGATGGCCATGCGGCCCAGGGGGATGGCGAGGTTTGTGGGACGGCGATTGAGACGCCGATGAACGTCACGGTCAGGTTGACGGTTGAGAAGGGCATGCAGTGGGTGGAGAGTCCGCATTATATTACTTCTCATGAACATACGGCGAATTTGGTTAGAGGGGGAGGGAAAGGGGAGTATGCGGCACTCGGGATTGACGCGGATTTGAGGGAGGCTAGCAGGAAGGCGTTGAGGGGGTTGATTAATTGGCTGGTTGCGGAGAAGAGGTTAACCAGGGAGGAGAGCTATATTTTGTGTAGTGTGGCGGCAGACTTGAAGATTGTGGAGGCGGTGGATATGCCGCACTTTGGAGTTGCTTGTAGTCTGCCACTAGGTGTATTTGTTGGACCTCCATATATATAAAGGATTACATGCGAGTGCAAAGCAAGAATTTACATGGCCGCTGGGAAATTATTTTCATTTTTATGCGTTTCTTGCCTCCTACTAGCATGTATGAGCTTGCTGCTGGTTTTGGCTCTATCTCGTAAGGAGTTGTATATCCTCAACCGAACTTGCTATTAATTCATATTCCTTTATATTCAACTCGTTAGTCCACCAGAGCGAGAAACTAGCCTTCACATCTCCTTTCGCCGGACGGATTATTGCGAAAGGACCCATCGTCGACTTCTGCACTCCTTGGTACCAGTCCATAATCACCATCTGCAGTCACGAAGATCCGAAGTTCCTGATCAGGTCGATTGAGACAACTTATATGAACGTACTTTCATTAATTTGGCAAAATGAATGCCAAAGAATTTACGAGTACCTGTAAGGTCAACGAGCCAGTAGCTGAGCCCTGCTATTGCTTAAGCTAATTACTACTATCAATTAGCGAGAATACCCTTGTATTTTCCATAGTAGGGATCAATTTTCCTTACCAAAAACCATACTATATATACTAGCTTTAATAATATATAAACACCTGTTTTTATTTATACCCTCCTTCTAACTCTAACCTTTACCCAATAGCCTGCCAGGTGTCTGCCAAGTATACTTCTAGTATATACTTAATCTTTACTATTAAGAAATATATAAATAAATTAAAATACTTTACTATTACTATTATTCTAGTATATAATCTAGTATATAATCTAATATATATTTAATATATAAAACCTATATATTTAATATATATTTTATTTTTATTACTAAGAAATATATAAATAATTAAGATAAAGAAATAAGTAAAATCTAAAAAAATAAAATAAAATATAAAAGTAGAATTAATTTCAAGAACTAGTTCTAATAAATAAACTAATTAATATTTATTTCTAAAGCTTTTATATATTTCTATATATATTATTTAATATTTTATTAAAAATATAAAAGTATTAGTTCTAATTAGAGAATATAATTTCATATAAATATTAGTCTAATTTAGCTATTAAATTCATTTAAATATTACTATTAATATATATTATATTATCTTTTTTTCTAAACTCTTATTTCTAAGAATATAAACTATTTTTATATATCTTTTATATTACTAGCTTTATATATCTTTATAAGCTTTATATTTTCTTATATTATAATATATTTATTTTGGTTTTTAGAACTAGAAAAACTATTTCTATAAATAAAACCTAGTTTTATATTTTATTTATTAATTATTTTAATAATTCGCTTTATATTTAATTCTAGAATATTTTTTTTATATTTTATATATTTATATTACTTTTATATTACTTTTATATTACTTTTATATTACTTTTATATTACTTTTATATTACTTTTATATATTTTATATTTATAATATATAGCTATTATTTTTCTTTTTAAATATTATTTCTAATAATTAACTACTATTTTATTTTCTGAAATAAATATTTAATAGCTTTTAAATTAATTATTTTTAAATTATTATTCTTAAACTATTATTTAAGTATTTATTCTAATAATATCTTTTTTATAATATATAGCCTTTAAATTTAATTAACTCTTAAATATTTAACTAAATAATAAGCTTTATTAATATTACTTTTAGCTAAGGCTATAATATATAAATAAAAGTATTTATATATTTAGTATTTCTTTTATAATTAAAAAAGTTATTAAATATTTAATTAGCTTTTTTTAATTTATTAAATACTTATAAATATTAAATTATTAGCTTTAAATTATATATATAATATATAGATTTTAGGCTATTAAAATACTAGCTATTAATATAATTAGTTATATTTAATAATATTATAATATTTATAATAATCTAATATTTTTAAAGCTTTTTTAAAAGTATATTATTAACTAGTTCTAGTATTTAAAGGCCTTTTTTTATTAAATTATTTCGAATATTTTATTAAATTTTCTAGTTATAATTATAGTTATTTTATATATTTTATATATTTTAATATATTTTATATATTTTAATATATTTTATATATTTTATTATATTTTATATATTTTATTATATTTTATATATTTTATTATATTTTATATATTTTATTATATTTTATATATTTTATATATATTTTTATTTTTATTTAAAAAGATTTAATTATAAATTTTTATAAACGAAAAATATATATAATTAAATATAAATTTTAATGATCAAAATAAATCTTTTTCTTATTATTATTTAATTTAATTAATTATAAAAAATATTTCGAGCCTTTATTTCGAATAAATTTTCTCTTGTTATTATATCTTAAAAGGTCTTATAGGGCCATAAATTTTAATGATTTTATCTATAAATTTATAGAAATTTTTTATATATATTAATATTGATAAAAATAATTTCGTTATATAAATTTTTATATAATCTTTTGATGAATCTTTTGGATTCGAAAGAAAATTTTGATCATTATAAGGTTGATGTCTATATATATAAGAGATTTATTCGAAAAATTATAAGATTCAAAGAGAAAAAAAGTCGAATTTAATAAAATATTCTTTAGAAAATAAAATAAAAAATTTTGAGATAAATATTTATTTTATTATAATATTTTATA